AAAAGACACAGGCTATCAGATTGGATTAAAAAACAAGACCCATCGATATGCTGTCTGAAAGAGACTCATTTTAGAACCAAAGACACCCCCAGATTGAAAGTGAGGGGGTGGAAAACCATTTACCATGCTAATGGACACCAAAAGAAAGCTGGGGTGGCAATCCTTATATCAGACAAATTAGATTTGAAAACAAAGACTATAATAAGAGATGAGGAAGGACAGTATATCCTACTTAAAGGGTCTATCCAACAAGAAGATCTAACAATTGTAAATATCTATGCCCCTAACATGGGAGCAGCCAATTATATACGGCAATTAATAACAAAAGCAAAGAAACACATCGACAACAATACAATAATAGTGGGGGACTTTAACAACCCCCTCACTGAAATGGACAGATCGTCTAAGCAAAAGATCAACAAGGAAATAAAGACTTTAAATGACACACTGGACCAAATGGACTTCACAGACATATTCAGAATATTCTACCCCAAAGCAATGGAATACACATTCTTCTCTAGTGCCCATGGAACATTCTCCACAATAGATCACATCCTAGGTTATACATCAGGTCTAAACCGGTACCAAAAGATTGGGATCATTCCCTGCCTATTTTCAGACCACAATAGTTTGAAACTAGAACTCAATCACAAGAGGAAAGTTGGAAAGAACTCAAATACATGGAGGCTAAAGAGCATCCTATTGAAGAATGAATGGGTCAACCAGGAAATTAAAGAAGATTTAAAAAAATACATGGAAACCAATGAAAATGAAAACACAACTGTTCAAAATCTTTGGGATGCAGAAAAGGCAGTCCTAAGAGGAAAGTATATAGCAATACAAGCCTTTCTCAAGAAACAAGAAAGGTCTCAAGTACACAACCTAACCCTACACCTGAACGAGCTGGAGAAAGAACAGAAATAAAGCCTAAACCCAGCAGGAGAAGAGAAATCATAAAGATCAGAGCAGAAATCAATGAAATAGAAACTAAAAGAACAGTAGAACAGATCAACGAAACTAGGAGCTGGTTCTTTGAAAGAATTAACAAGATTGATAAACCCCTGGCCAGACTTATCAAAGAGAGAAGAGAAATGACCCAAATCAACAGAATCATGAATGAAAGAGGAGAGATCACAACCAACACCAAAGAAATACAAACAATTATAAGAACATATTATGAGCAACTCTAGGCCAGCAAATTAGATAACCTGGAAGAGATGGATGCATTCCTAGGGATGTATCAACTACCAAAACTGAACCAGGATGAAATAGAAAACCCGAACAGACCTATAACCACTAAGGAAATTGAAGCAGTCATCAGAAATCTCCCAAAAAACAAAAGCCCAGGGCCAGATGGCTTCCCAGGGGAATTCTACCAAACATTTCAAGAAGAATTAATACCTATTTTTCTGAAACTGTTCCAAAAAATAGAAACGGAAGGAAAACTTCCAAACTCATTTTATGAGGCCAGCATTACCTTGATCCCAAAACCAGACAAAGACCCCATCCAAAAGGAGAATTACAGACCAATATCCCTGATGAACATGGATGCAAAATTCTCACCAAAATACTAGCCAATAGGATCCAACAGTACATTTAAAGGATTATTCACCATGACCAAGTGGGATTTATTCCTGGGCTGCAAGGTTGGTTCAACATCCGCAAATCAATCAACGTGATACAATACATTAACAAAAGAAAGAACAAGAATCATATGATCCTCTGAATAGATGTAGAAAAAGCTTTTGACAAAGTACAGCATCCTTTCTTGATCAAAACTCTTCAGAGTATAGGGATAGAGGTTACATACCTCAATATCCTAAAAGCCATCTATGAAAAACCTACAGCGAATATCATTCTCAATGGGGAAAAACTGAGAGCTTTCCCCCTAAGGTCAGGAATGCGGCAGGGATGTCCACTATCACCACTGCTATTCAACATAGTATTAGAAGTCCTAGCCACAGCAATCAGACAACAAAAAGAAATCAAAGGCATCCAAATTGGCAAAGAAGAAGCCAAACTCTCTCTGCAGATGAGATGATACTTTATGTGGAAAACCCAAAAGACTCCACCCCAAAACTGCTAGAACTCATACAGGAATTCAGTAAAGTGGCAGGATATAAAATCAATGTACAGAAGTCAGTGGCATTCCTATACGCCAACAACAAAACAGAAGAAAGAGAAATTAAGGAGTCGATACCATTTACAATTGCACTCAAAACCATAAGATACCTAGGAATAAATCTAACCAAAGAGACAAAGGATCTGTACTCAGAAAACTATAAAATACTCATGAAAGAAATTGAGGAAGACACAAAGAAATGGAAAAACGTTCCATGCTCATGGATTGGAAGAACAAATATTGTGAAGATGTCAATGCTACCTAGAGCAATCTACACATTCAATGCAATCCCCATCAAAATACCATCCACTTTTTTCAAAGAAATGGAACAAATAATCCTACAATTTGTATGGAACCAGAAAAGACCCCGCATAGCCAGAGGAATGTTGAAAAAGAAAAGCAAAGCCGGCGGCATCACAATTCCGGACTTCCAGCTCTATTACAAAGCTGTCATCATCAAGACAGCATGGTACTGGCACAAAAACAGACACACAGATCAATGGAACAGAATAGAGACCCCAGAAATGGACCCTCAACTCTATGGTCAACTAATCTTCGACAAAGCAGGAAAGAATGTCCATTGGAAAAAAGACAGTCTCTTCAACAAATGGTGTTGGGAAAATTGGATAGCCACATGCAGAAGAGTGAAACTGGACCATTTCCTTATACCACACACAAAAATAGACTCCAAATGGTTGAAAGACCTCAATGTGAGACAGGAGTCCATCCAAATCCTAAAGGAGAACACAGGCAGCAACCTCTTTGACCTCAGCCCAAGCAACTTCTTCCTAGAAACATCGCCAAAGGCAAGGGAAACAAGGGCAAAAATGAACTATTGGGACTTCATCAAGATAAAAAGCTTTTGCAAAGCAAAGGAAACAGTCAACAAAACCAAAAGACAACCGACAGAATGGGAGAAGATATTTGCAAATGACATATCAGATAAAGGGCTAGTATCCAAAATCTATAAATAACTTATCAAACTCAACACCCACAGAACAAAGAATCCAATCAAGAAATGGGCAGAAGACGTGAACAGACATTTTTCCAAAGAAGACATCCAAATGGCCAACAGACACATGAAAAAGTGCTCAATATCGCTCAGCATCAGGGAAATCGAAATCAAAACCTCAATGAGATACCACCTCACACCAGTCAGAATGGCTTAAATTAACAAGTCAGGAAATGACAGATGTTGGCGGGGATGCGGAGAAAGGGGAACCCTCCTACACTGTTGGTGGGAATGCAAGCTGGTGCAGCCACTCTGGAAAACTGTATGGAGGTTCCTCAAAAAGTTGAAAATAGAGCTACCATATGATCCAGCCATTGCACTACTGGGTGTTTACCCCAAAGATACAAAAGTAGGGATCCGAAGGGCTACGTGCACCCCGATGTTTATAGCAGCAATGTCCACAATAGCCAAACTGTGGAAAGAGCCAAGATGTCCATCGACAGATGAATGGATAAAGAAGATGTGGTATATATATACAATGGAATATTATGCAGCCATCAAAAGGAATGAGATCTTGCCATTTGCAACGACGTGGATAGAACTGGAGGGTATTATGTTGAGTGAAATAAGTCAGAGAAAGACATGTATCATATGATCTCAGTGATATGAGGAATTCTTAATCGCAGGAAACAAACTGAGTGTTGTTGGAGTGGGGAGTGGGGTAGGAGGGATAGGGTGACTGGGTGATAGACACTGGGGAGGGTATGTGCTCTGGGAAGCGCTGTGAATTGTGCAAGACTGTTGAATCTCAGATCTGTACCTCTGAAACAAATAATGCAATATATGTTAAGAAAAAAAAAGAAGAAGAAGAAGGTAGCAGGAGGAGAAGAATGAAGGGGGGAAATCGGAGGGGTAAATGAACCATGAGAGACGATGGACTCTGAAAAACAAACAGGGTTCTAGAGGGGAGGGAGGTGGGAGGATGGGTTAGCCTGGTGGTGGGTATTGAGGAGGGCACATTCTGCATGGAGCACTGGGTGTTATGCACAAACAATGAATCATGGAACACTTCATCTAAAACTAATGATGTAATGTATGGGGAGTAACATAAGAATAAAAAAAATGTAACTGGGTCATTTGTTTTTTAAAAATTTTGTCCTTACAAATGAAAGGGAGTGGGAGATAAGGCTTCCCATTATGGAAAGAATAAGTCACAGAAATAAAAGGCACTGCATGAGGAATATTGGTCAATGGTATTGTAATAGCATTGTACGGTAACAGATGGTAGCTGCACTTGTGGTAAGCACAGCATAATGTATAAACTTGTCAAATCACTAGGTTGTACACCTGAAATTAATGTAAAATTGTGCATCAACTATACTCACGTACAGAAATTAAACCAAGAAGGAAAACAAAATTTCAACTATTTCCAGGGAAAAAACCCACAAAAAATAAAGAGTACAATCACTCTGTACTCTGTATATGCCTCTATTATTGAATGTAATACATTGTATTGCAGTTATTTGGTTTCAAGCCTGTCTCTATCTCCAGAATGGAAGCTTCCTGTTTGTAGGGATCACGTGCAATTGCACAGAAAAAAAGGCTCGGTTAGTATTTATTGAATTGAATTGAGTATTAAATTACACTCATTAAAAGAAAACAATTTTGGCCTTTTAACAATAAAGTCTTGTTGAATGTTATATTTTAGATTAGATGTTTGTTTCTGTTCTATAGAAATTAAATCTGTGGAAAAGAACAGGTATTCTAAGCCACTGGAAGTTCAGGTACAATGTAAAGAAATAGGAACTAAGCTCAACATGTTCCTTTATTTAAGGTACTCTACCATATTTAGGTGCTATTCAGTTAACAAAGTATCAAATCAAAGATATTTTTACAAATATTTCTCACTTGACTTAATTTCCATACCTTCCAGATGTATTCTTCAGTATGGCGAGAGCATCTGGATAGCCATCCATGTTGTAGTCTCCAATATGAAGGGTAATTGGAAGTGGTATTTCAGTTGGTCGTTGTTCATGCACAAATGGCACAAAGCCCCACAGTGTGCCCTTGTTGCCGAACTCCTGTAGGACTGGAACCCACTATGGAATAAGAGGAAGAAGATTAGATTTTACAGTTACTTTAGAAAAAAAAAATTCACCATTTGTAAAACAAATGATTTATTAAAAGTCCTCACAAGCATCATCTTACTTAAACTTCTTTATCTCTACATCTAAGGGTATTATGATTCACTTTGAAGAACAGATAACTGATACTCTAGAAAAAATAAACTTCCATTTAAATTTCATCACTAGTCATTCTTCCTTGAACTGGCCTTTGAAGGTTTCTCACAAAATCACAGAATCTTAGGTTTGAATTGATATTGATTCCTATAGTTGAATCTCCCCATTTTAAAGCTGTGTTGAGTGGAAATGTAATTTCAAGGTAATATTTTTTAAAGATTTATTTACTTATTTTAGAGAGGGAGGGAGGGAGAGAGAGAGAATGAGGGGGAGGGGCAGAGGGAGAAGGAGAGAGAGAATCTCAATCAGACTCCCACTGAACATGGAGCCCAACAGGGGGCTCTATCTCAAGATCCTGAGATCATGAACTGAGCAGAAACCAAGAGTTGGATGCTTAACTGACTGAGCCACCTAGGCACCCCACAAATGAGTATTTTTTAAAATTAGAGCAAACTGTAATATCATCTAATATTGATGTCCTTTCAGGAGGATCAGCTTAGGAAGAAAGTTAGAAGAGGAGAGAACCTCCATTGTTCCCCTGCTTTGCCTTTTATACATAATGATGACTTTAGTCACCATCTTCAGAGCCAAGAGTTCTGAGGCTTTCCTGACAACACCAGCTCTGAAGAGAAGCTCTGCCTGTCCAGGGGGAGCTTTGTCACAAAAACAGCTGGAATCTACTTTTAGTAAGTTCTTTATTTTTATGTTGATTATAATGAAGAGAACGGAGAGAATAAGTTGATTTCAAAAAGAGCTTTTGGAAATGCCTTTCTCTTTTGAGATGCCCTAATCTACTTCTAATAATCTAATGCAAACTAAAAATCTGAAGAGTGGAGATCATACCATTAAAATTACAAATATGCCCAGGGTGCCTGGGTGGCTCAGTTGTTGGGCATCTGCCTTTGGCTCAGGTCAAATTATAAATATGCCCATGATTAGTTAAAAGTATGGATACTGGCACACACCCTAGAGATGTTTAAACAGGCGCAGCTGGCTTGAAATGACAGCAGGCTAAACATGACTACATATGTTTCTTTTAAGCAGGTGACTCTTTATATGGCTCCAAGTCAAACGATATTAAAAATGGCTTCTTGCAAAGGGTTTAGTACATAGGGTACCCTACACATTTTCTAGGTTTTCCAAAGAAAGCATAACTTGCCAAGGAAAAAGAGAAAAAAATAATGATAAAGACATATTTATAGAAAAGAAGCTGTTTTTAAAAAAATACTTGTTAAATCTTGATTAATTTTTCAATCTTTCTTTTTTTATTATTTTTTAAAGATTTTATTTATTTATTTGAGAGAGAGAGAGAGCACGAGAGGGAAGAGGGCAGAGGGGGAAGCAGACCCCCCGCTGAGCAGGGAGCCCGATGTGGGACTCGATCCCAGGACTCCAGGATCATGACCTGAGCCGAAGGCAGTCGCTTAACCAACTGAGCCACCCAGGCGCCCATAATTTTTCAATCTTTCTTAAAAGCAAAAAAAATATCATCAAAATGTTTTAATGATTTACTTGACTTTGAAAAAAACCTGTTGGTTTTGTTTTGGAAGAAGATGGGAAATTTCACAAAATGCTAAGTTATCACAAATTTCTGAAAAGGTTGACCATTTATTAATGAGGATAAAGTATTCTTATTAAGGTAAATGTATTAAGGTCTAAAAAGATATTTTATTAATATGACATCCTTAACAGTCACCAAAGAACTGTGACATTTATCTTCCCAGAGAGAGATGACTATATAATTTGAAATACTCTTACTGTAGTCTGTTTCTTGAAGCCAGGTTATAATTACTATGTTTACTTATACCTATGAAACAATGATTAGGTATTACTTGACCTCATGTTTTCAGTGATTCAAAACTTAAAAAAGCTTAAGATAATATAATTTATAGGTACAGAAGTTAAATGTTTTTAGACTGTTGATTGTATGAAGATTTTTCTTTAGTGTCTTAGTATAAAATGTAGTTTCCTACAAAGGCAGTAGAAGTCAGTATGTTATTCTATCATTTCTTACCCTAAGACAGAAAACAAAACTGATTAATTCTAGTACTATAATACTGGCTTTCTCTGTCTAGTGCTATCAGTATGGAAAAATTCTCAATGTTACAACATATCATTGCCACATTAATCTGCTAAGACTATTGGATTCTAAACTGTTTACCTACAAGCTACAGGTAAAAAGTCAGCTTGAGAGAATGAAACAGATCTAGATAGCACAAATAAAGACAAGATTAGCCTTGACAATAGATGTGATATCCTTCTCCATAACCTTTTATCATAGTTACAGTGCCTTTTACAATAATCCTAGGCTATAAAATGCTAATGGATCATTTAATTACAGGACCAAGAATAGGTCTTCTTCACCAGAAATGATTATAACAGTGTCTTCCCCCTCAATAAACAAACACAAAAAGATTTAAATGCATTTCATTAAATTAAAATGAGGATGTCAATAATTTATATAGGGTTTCTCTGTGTTCTGATTCTTCAGATACTTTTTCTAATCTCTGATGATTTTCTTCAAGAAGGTAACTACTGACATTAAAAAACAAGCTGATATACCTGTTTCGTTCCAGATTTTGCTAAGTAAATGATGCTTTTCTGGCAGTTTTTATCTTCACAGCCTGGCAGTAAGTGATCCATGTGTCCATCTCCATCTGCCAAAAGAAACTTCAAGAGTCCATTAACAGTTACAAAATAAAGTGTTCTTGTATGGCAGATTACATTTTTTATTTGTTCAAAGTCTGCATCAATCTGGGTAAATGGAAGAAATTGACATATGACTTTGTAATAAATGTGATTCAATTAAAATAATTACTCTGGCCCTTGCCATCTATTACCTGGATTGTGTCTTGTTTTAAATTGCTCACTTTTCTGTAAATATTTATCCAGTGTTGGAAAAAAAAACCCATTTCAGGCTTTAATATTAAGATCATCAATTCTTAAACAACGTGGCTTTTGACTTATTTACATAGTTATCATTGCTGCTACAAGAGAAAAACAAGCATGGCAACAGTAACTCATTATTATATGGCTTATTTTAAATGTGTCTTTACATATAGTTTATCTTTACACATGCTCTTAAGTATCTTTTAAATAGTTTGAACTTCAAGAGTTCTAAAGCTCTCAGCACCCTGGCTTTTAAAAAGCAACAACAATTTTTATCAATAAAAAGGCAAATGAAGAGAATACAGATGTCATTTTCAGCTGACTGGTTTTTTAAAAAGCTACACAATGAGGGCGCTTGGGTTGCTCAGTTGGTTAAGCATCTGATTTTGGTTCAGGTCATGATCTCAGGGTCTTGGGATTGAGCCCTGCATCAGGCTCTGTGCTCAATGTGGAGTCTGCTTTGTCCCTCTGTCCCCACCCCCCACACTCATGCTCTCTCTCAAATAAATAAAATCTTTTTTTTTTTTAAAGATTTTATTTATTTGACAGAGAGAGACACAGAGAGAGCAGGAACACAAGCATGGGGAGTGCGAGAGGCAGAAGCAGACTTCCCACGAAGCAGGGAGCCTGATGTGGGGCTCGATCCCAGGACCCTGGGATCATGACCTGAGCCAAAGCAGACGCTTAACGACTGAGCTACCCAGGCACCCCATCAAATAAATAAAATCTTAAAAAAAAAGCTGCACAATGTTTTGCAAAGACCTTCAGAAGTGAGGTTACTGAAGAACCTGGAATCAATTCCTCTAATGGTCTCTCCTTCCTACTGCCCCTTACCTGATGGGGTTTACAGATTTTGATGTCCTATAAATCTCTACAGTGACATGCACAGTGGAATAGTCATTTAGATTTTAAATTTTGTGTTGCTTTATTCACGGATTTATTTGCTATGTTTTAACATATAATGTGTGTCTGAGGCAAGTGCCTTCAGTTTGAAGGAGATAATAAGGATTAGCAGCAATAGAGTAATATTCTTCCACGTTTAGGCTTACATATTAAGAAAATACAGAATTTTAACAAGCCTATCAAGTCTTCAGTAATATATTCAAAAAGGAAAAAAATAATTTTAGGCTGAGTGGGCTGAAAATCTAGCCAATGGAAGCTGACCCCAGCAAGGAAAAATAAATGGTGCAGCCTAGTGAAAAATAAATTTCTTTCATTTAATTTCATGGTTTAATTACTTATGAGCTTTATGATTAATATCATTTGTGACAAGAAACCCTTACACAGAGGAGTAAAACATTAAATAACATAGTTGAATTAATAATGGAAAGTATGGAGAACATCTGTGATTTGACAGTATATATAGATTTGGACTACTGAGAAAGAAGAGAGATAGATGCAACTCCAGGCAGGAATACTTGGAAAGGAAAAGGCTTTTCAAGGGCATAAACATATATTATGGTTAAAGATAAATAAAAAAAGAGCTAGCCAAGTAAGAATGAATTAAATGCAAAATGTGATTTGTAAGTGGACTCTAGGAATATCATAGACCTCATTAAAAGCCAAACCATTTTATTGCAAATTAAAGGGGGACCAATTAGAAGACCATTACTAAGTCTCTACCCTTCATTTTTACCCAATGGCAAAATACTCAGATTAGATTCTAATTTACACTTTTATTTTCTCCTAGTTCCTTTATTCCAAGTAGCTTCCTATTTCCTACAAGTATTTCAACTATGACTTAGCTGATATTTAATGCTGGCAAATAACCATCTAATAAACACACAACAAACTCATGTGATAACTCATAATCATGCCTTTTAGTATAAGTTAGCAACAATATTTTATAGATATGGTCATAGAAATGGAGAACTTTATCAGAGAATGTCTTCCTTGTGCCCTTTCTACATGCTGTTTTCTGATATTTAAGAGAAGTAATATAAAAGCTGTCTGATAGTCCAACTTCATGCCCAAAGGAAATTTTAAATACAAAGTTATTAATTCCTGTGACTTCTTTAAGGAATGTGTCCAAGTTCACAGACAGGTCCCTCCATCAGCATGACTTCTTCATAGTCTACTCAAGGTCACATTATTTCTTAGGAATTTGTTTAAAAGAATACTATTTCCTAGTCTTGGGCCTTTGATTCATGTGAAATTTATTTTTCTGAAACTATTTTCTTCCCTAGGCATAAAAGTTATATTATTATTAAAATAACAACCATAAATCTACATATAAGCACATGTAACATTTTCATGAAGAATGACTATTTTCCAAAACAAAACGTTTTACAAGAAGAGTGGCATTATGTGGCTTAACAGAAAAAAGCTGGATTTTCATGCTGCTTTTGTACTCAATCTACTTTTTTTTTTTAAATTTTATTATGCTATGTTAGTCACCATACAGTACATCATTGGTTTTTGATGTGGTGATCCACGATTCGTTGTTTTCGTATAACACCCAGTGCTCCATGCAGTACGTGCCCTCCTTAATACCCATCACCAGGCTAACCAATCCCCCCTCACCCCTCCCCTCTAAAACCCTGTTTGTTTCTCAGAGTCCATAGTCTCTCATGGTTCATCTCTCCCTCCAATTCCCCCCCCCATTTTTCCCTTCCTTCTCCTAATGTCCTCCATGCTATTCCTTATGTTCCACAAATAAGTGAAACCATATGATAATTGACTTTCTCTGCTTGACTTATTTCACTTAGCATAATCTCCTCCAGTCCCATCAATGTTAATGTAAAAATTGGGTATTCATCCTTTCTGATGGCTGAGTAATATTCCATTGTATATATGGACCACATCTTCTTTATCCATTCATCTGTTGAAGGGCATCTCGGCTCTTTCCACAGTTTGGCTATTGTGGACCTTGCTGCTATGAATATTGGGGTGCATATGGCCCTTCTTTTCACTACATCTGTGTCTTTGGGGTAAACACCCAGGAGTGCAATTGCTGGGTCACAGGGTAGCTCTATTTTAAAATTTTTGAGGCACCTCCACACTGTTTTCCAAAGTGACTGTATCAACTTGCATTCCCACCAACAGTGTATGAGGGTTCCCCTTTCTCCACAACCTCTCCAACATTTGTTGTTTCTTTCCCTGTCCATTTTTGCCATTCTAACTGGTGTAAGGTGGTATCTCAGTGTGGTTTTGATTTGAATTTCCCTGATGGCTAATGATGATGAACATTTTTTTATATGTCTGTTAGCCATTTGTATGTCTTCTTCAGAGAAGTGTCTTTTCATATCTTCTGCCCACTTTTTGACTTGATTATTTGTTTTTTGGGTGGTGAGTTTGAGAATTCTTTACAGATCTTGATATCAGCCCCTTATCTGTAGTGTCATTTGCAAGTATCTTCTCCCATTCTGTGGGTTGCCTCTTTGTTTTGTTGACTGTTTCCTTGGCTGTGCAGAAGCTTTTTATCTTGATGAAGTCCCAAAAGTTCATTTTTGCTTTTGTTTCCCTAGCTTTTGGAGATGTATCTGAAAGAAGCTGTGGGCGATGTCTAAGAGGTTACTGCCTATGTTCTCCTCTAGGATTTTGATGGATTCCTGTCTCACATTGAGGTCTTTCATCCATGTTGAGTTTATCTTTGTGAATGGTGTTAGAGAATGGTCGAGTTTCATTCTTCTGCATGTGGCTGTCCAATTTTCCCAGCACCATTTATTGAAGAGACTGTCTTTTTTCCATTGCATGTTTTTTCCTGCTTTGTCAAAGATTGTTTGACCATAGAGTTGAGGGTCCATATCTGGGTTCTCTATTCTGTTCCATTGGTCTATATGTCTGTTTTTGTGCCAGTACCATGCTGTCTTGGTGATCACAGCTTTGTAATATAGCTTGAAATTGGGCAACGTGATGCCCCCAGCTTTGTTTTTCTTTTTCAACATTTCCTTGGCGATTTGGGGTCTTTTCTGATTCTATATAAATTTTAGGATTGTTTGTTCCAGCACTTTGAAAAATGTCATTGGAATTTTGAATGGGATGGCATTGAAGGTATAGATTGCTCTGGGTAGCATAGACATTTTAACAATGTTTATTCTTCCGATCCATAAGCAAGGAATATTTTTCCATCTTTTTGTGCCTTCTTCCATTTCTTTCATGAGTGTAATTCTCCTTTTTTGATGGGGTCTTTGTCTGGTTTTGGATCAATGTAATTCTGGCCTCATAAAATGAGTTTGGAAATTTTCCTTCCATTTCTATTTTTTGGAACAGTTTCAGAGGAATAGGTATTCATTCTTTAAAGAATTAGAATTCCACTGGGAAGCCATCTGGCCCTGAGTTCTTGTTTGTTGGGAGATTTTTGATTACTGCTTCAATTTCCTTACTGGTTATGGGTCTGTTCAGGTTTTCTATTTCTTTCTGGTTCAGTTTTGGTAGTTTCTATGTCTCTAGGAATGCATCCATTTCTTCTAGATTGTCTAATTTGCTGGCATGTAGTTGCTCATAATATGTTCTTATAATTATTTGTATTTCTTTGGTGTTGGTTGTGATCTCTCCTCTTTCAGTCATTGATTTTATTTATTTGGGTCCTTTCTCTTTTCTTTTTGATATGTATGGCCAGGGTTTTTATCAATCTTACTTATTCTTTCAAAGAACCAGCTCCTAGTTTCGATGATCTGTTCTACTGTTCTTTTGGTTTCTATTTCATTGGTTTCAGCTATGATCTTTATTATTTCTCTTTCCTGCTGGGTTTAGGCTTTATTTGTTGTTCTTTCTCCAGCTCGTTCAGGTGTAGGGTTAGGTTGTGTATTTGAGACCTTTCTTGTTT